GTATTTGTGGTGCCAAGTAGGCAGAGGCATGGCCTGTGAACGCTGGAAAGTCACCTTCCTCTCCTCCGTCAAGGTCATTTTCGCTACCGAGTGGCCTTCGGCTGACCTCATCCATACACGCAGGCCTCCGGAACCTTCAACGGAAGATGGGTGTCCTGAAAAAAACGCATGGGTTTCAAAATTTTCTGGCAGCAAAAAGAAGCTGGCCTTTGACCCCAGTTTTCGGGGAACATTTTGAGGGGCCCTCGTGCCATTCTTCTGCGATGTTCTGTGTCATCAGCGAATGCGGCTCCAGCTTCCGGGAGCCAGTGCGGCTTCTCAAGCTGACCGCTGGCTTGGTCGTCGGCTGGCTGCCCCGTCGGTGCGCCCCACCCCCACCCCCATGGCTGCCTCCAGCAGTGTCGCAGGCTCCTGGAAGATGGCGTTTCCAATTCCTGGGTTGCAGACCCCACGTTCTCATGGGTGCCCCAGAAGTCTGGCAGAGAAATGTTGCCATTATCTATGTTAGATCTGGGAGTCATTTGAAAATATGTTTGGAAAGAAGAGTTCTGTGGTTCAAAAAATAAAAAGTACAAGAACTAATACCGAATTCATCTTAAAGTTCCCAGTTCTCATTCTGCAAAGTGTAGCTCAAAATGCCTGTAACCAACAGAGCCCACCGCACAGGGCTGTGCAGAGTGATATTGTGTTAGTATTGCACGCGGTGTCTGTGGGATAGTAGTGGCTCAATAAACAGTATTCCTGCCTGCTCTCCTGCCCCCCCCCCACCATTGCGGGGTTGGTCCTAGCTGTCAGCCATACATATCCTACGTCACAACGTGTTGTGAGGATTACTTTATGAATGGATTTGCCCAGACATTGGCCGAGGGCTGATTACTGAGCCCCTTCCCTGGGCACTGGCGGTTTGAAGAAAAATGAGGACAAGGACCCTGAGGGTAAGACTGGCATTGCAGTCCTTTAGCTGCCCACATCCCTGGGCCCGGGCTCGGAAGCCCCGGCCACGGGGTTCTCCCGGCGACATCCTCCCAGTGCTCCCGCGGGTGGGTGATGTGTTGCGTGGACACAGGATGCCTACGCTGTTTCCAGCTCCCCTCTCTGCACAGCCGCCTCCCTAGGTGGCCGCCTGCAGTGTCCCGAATTCCAGCCATGCGGCCACCTGCCAGGTGTCTGTCTCCAGCTCGGGCCCAGAGCCAATGGCCTACTGGCTGTTCTTGGTTCGGTTGTTGAAGCCTGAACGTTTGAACTTCATCCTGGGCAATGTCACTCCGGGTTCTTCCCGGTTTCAGTACACGGAGCATCTGTGCTTCTGGGTGCGGAGGCCAGGCCCCTTGCAATCGCTGCGCGTCCCCATCCCCCACCCACCCCCATGCAGTAGCCTATCCTGCCAGCTGTCACTTGCTCATAGAGCCGGGGGCTGAGTGCTGCTCGCCTCCGCTGCCCCCACCGTCTGCACTGTTACAGGGACCTCCTAACCGGGCTCCCCACTTCCACCCTCCCAGCCCTCATGCCCCTCCCAGCCCAGGAGCTGTGTGCAAGTCCAGCCAAGCCGCTCACTGCCTAGCACACTCCAGTGGCCTCTCATTTCCCCAGGGGAAGCCCCCGATGATGCTCCCTGCCCCCCACCGCCACCCTGACACACACGTTAGTGTCTCCCTGCACTGGCATGTAAGCTGCAGGGGACAGGGCCTCCCGCCTGTTTTGTTCGGCAGTAGATGCCTGGTGTTGCACGTGTGTCACAGCAGGAGAAACCTGGTAGGTACCAGCCGAGCCATGACCGACGCTGGGGACAGAGCGGGACACAGATCGGACGCTGCCCCGGCCCTGCCACGCACCGCTCGCTGGGAGAGACGGCCCTCCGCCATGGCGCCTGGAACGGCAGACATGGAGTTTGCAAGGGTGGGCAGACGGGGACCTGGTTTGCAGGTTTCTGGGCAGCGACCCCAGGTCTGCGGTCAGGTGGTCACCTATCTCCATGACGACCACCAGCATAGGAGTTTGCTGCCTGGGGGGGGGATCGGAAGCAGGGACACCGAGACTCCTTTCCAAAGGTGGGGGCAGACGTGCCTGCCCTGGACACCCCGGGCACCTGAGCGACCCTGCACTCTGGCGCCAGCTCTGGTGAAGACGGGGCCACGGGGGCCCATTTCCCCGAGCAGGGAGGGGCAGAGCTCGCTGCGGCAACCAGCTCTCTCCTCCCTCTCTCCCCGAGCGGCCGGGAGAGCCAGCCACTCCCTTAGCTCAGTCCCCAGAGGCCAGCTTTTCCTGGGCCCCTTGCCCGGCTGCCAGAATTCAGCTCCACCCGAAGTCCCTGGAAGCAAGGACATGAGGAATGTCCCACAGACAATCCACTCCGGCTCCCTGAGGTCAGCCCCAGCCCAGAGATGCCTTCACCTGGCCCCGGCTGCCGCTTTGCCCAGCGCACGCCCGTGCGCGGGCGCTGGCACTGCAGAGTCCAGCTGGCGGAAGTGACGTTTCCTGTGTGTCCGAGGCGGCCACCGGCTTGTGGCTGTGGCCGGGCTGTTGGGAAGCGGCTGCCTGCCCGCTGGGGCTCTGCACGGCTCCTGCTGGCAGCTGGCCGCCCAGGCTCGCACACCACACCCAGTGCTGCACTGGACGGGCAGGGCCAGGACGTGCGATCAGGGCGTCAGGCGACCTTCGTGTCAGGATCAAGCTACCCTCCCTGCTTCCCTCGCATCTCCTTGAGACTGGACACCGTGACCTCGGCTCCCCCCACACAATGGCAATTAGAATGACAGAATGGCTAGCTGGGTCCCAGGCATGGCTGGGCGGTCCACGTTTATTATCTTGTTTCGCCTCCGAACTACAGCAGGTGGCAGTGTCCCTGCTTTCTGCACTAAGGATCCAAGGACAGAAACTTTGTCACTTGTCCCAGGTCACAGGGGTGGAGAACTGCCGCCACCCCCCACCCCCAGCCCGCGCGATTCCGTCTGTGGGTGGAGCCTGGCAAGAGGTTCGTGGGAAATCACCGAGCACACCAAGGGCGCGGGAAGGGAGAGTGGGCGGGCGCTTCAGCTTTGGGAGAGCAGACCGTGATCCAAGTGCCTTTGAACACAATGTAATCTGCAGGAATTACGTTGGCTTCAGGGCCAAGGTCATCAAACAGGCTGGGAGTTTCCCCCGGCATTGTCTTTGTTCACAGAATGGTTCTTTGGTCTGTGACGCGTCCACTCTGTCCAAACAGCTCTCGGAGAGATGGATGAAGGCCTCTGACACCAAAGTCTGCGTGTGGGAAGGCAAGACCCTCACCACCCCGACACACATGCCCCCAGCTCCCAGCACAGCGGAGGGGCTCTGGGAGGGGACAAGCATGAGCCGGAGCTTGCTCAGGTTCAGGGCCGGCGGGTGGAGCCCGCTCTCCAGCCCAGCATCAGGCCTGCCATGGCCAAGGGCGCGCCGCGGGGAGGATTCCGCAGCACGCTGCTCCGGTGCCTCCTGCAGCCCTCTCACAGCGGGCTGGTCCCTAGGGGCCTCGCCCCCCTGCACGGCCAGCTCTGGAGGCCCAGGAGCCCTCCTGCCACAGCACACAGCAGGACTGCCTCTGGGGACCCCAGGGATGGTGTGTTTTTCTTTTAAGATTTATTTATTTATTTGAAAGTGAGAGTTACACAGAGAGAGGAGAGGCAGACAGAGAGAGAAAGAGAGAGAGATAGAGAGGTCTTCCATCCAATGGTTCACTCCCCAATTGGCTTCAATGGCCGGAGCTGCGCTGATCCGAAGCCAAGAGCCAGGAGTTTCTTCCAGGTCTCCCACGTGGGTGCAGGGGCCCAAGCACTTGGGCCATCTTCTACTCCTTTCCCAGGCCACAGCAGAGAGCTGGATCGGAAGAGGAGCAGCCGGGACTAGAACCAGCACCCATATGGGATGCCATCACCGCAGGCGGTGGATTAACCCACTACGCCAATGGCATGGTGCCGGCCCCCGGAGATGGTGTTAACGGGAACCCAGCGAGTCCCTGGGTCTGGAACTCAGTTCTCAGACGGGCACACTTGGATCCTGACGTGTCAGAGAACACCCAGAGCTGGCCACAGGATTCCGCCTCCAGTGCTCACAGGGCAGTGAGAAACGCACAAGGAACTGCCACTAGCCAGTGGGGTCACAGAGGAACCTGCTTCTGTGTCCAGGCCGCAGTCAGACACGCATGCGTGCACACACACAGACATCACAGACATCACAGACATCTACACATAGACATCACAGATCTCACACACACAGACGTCACATATACTTACACACAGAGACATCACACACACGGAGACATCTACACATACACAGACATCACACACATACACATCCACTTCCTCATGTCCATATCCATTCGCCAAGTCACACATCTGCATGCCCACTGACAGCTGTGCCTACCCACGTGCCCACTGCTTACACGGCTTGCAGACAGCTGGCCAAGCAGGTGGGCCTGCTGGTTGTCATGACATCGGTTGCCATGGAGGCACAGAGACATGACAACAAGATGAGCTCCCTCTCAGGCTGGCCTCCTTTGAACTCTGGCTCTCTGCCCCACACCTCCCTCTACCACGCCGACCCCTGGCACCCAGCATACATGGAAGAAGCCACGCCCACCTACACTGGTCATGGTGGAGGGTTGCTCCTCCTGAGATGGCCCCGGCGTTATGGACTGAATGTCTGTGTCCTCCCCAACTTCTTCCATGACACCAACCCCAGGCGATGGCGTTAGGGGTGGGAGGTCCCGAGGTCACGGGGTGGAGGGTGCATGCAGGGTGCTCTCATGAGAGAGGCCCGTGCAGCTCTGAGCTCTTTGTGTCGTGTGCACAGCCGTCTGTGAGCCAGAAGCAGGCCCTCGGCAGAGCCCCAGCGGGCAGGCGCCGGCATCCGGGGCTTCCGGCCTTCGGAACAGCGGGAACATTTGTCAGCCATCCCGCCCACGCAATGGACTGAGACACCAGGTCTGGGGGTCGTGCCCCGAGGCCCCACGCCTGCCCCTCCCACCGCACGTGTGGGCGGAGTCACAGTGACTGATTTATTCCAACACGCAGAAAGGTACAAACAGCTCTGGCGGGTGCAGGAAAACCTCCCACTCCCACGGATGCTTCCGTGGGATCCCCAGCGCCCAAAGTCAGATGCAGCAGTGGCTCCAGGCTGGGCCGACTCTCAGGCTGGGATCACAACCTTGCCCAGGAACAAGCTGCTCCAGGTGAAGTCGTCGAAGATCAGGATGAGGAAGGGCCGGTTGAAGTTCAGGGTGAGGGGTTCAGACACCAGCTGCAGGGGGCCTCCCGTGGCAGCCACCTCCACCCCCCCGTGCTCGTCGAGCTGCAGCACAGCCTTATGGAGCACCTGTTAGGAGTGGACCAGAGATGAGTGGGCACCAGCTGTGTGTGGGGGACACCTGCTGGGTGTGACACCTGCTGTGTGGGGGACACCTGCTGTGTGGGGGACACCTGCTGTGTGTGACACCTGCTGTGTGGGGGACACCTGCTGTGTGGGGGACACCTGCTGTGTGTGACACCTGCTGTGTGGGGGACACCTGCTGTGTGTGTGACACCTGCTGTGTGCGTGACACCTGCTGTGTGATACCTGCTGTGTGTGACACCTGCTGTGTGTGACACCTGCTGTGTGGGGGACACCTGCTATGTGTGTGGCACCTGCTGTGTGTGTGACACTTGCTGTGTGTGTGACACCTGCTGTGTGCGTGACACCTGCTGTGTGACACCTGCTGTGTGTGACACCTGCTGTGTGTGTGACACCTGCTGTGCGTGACACCTGCTATGTGTGTGGCACCTGCTGTGTGTGTGACACCTGCTGTGTGTGACACCTGCTGTGTGTGACACCTGCTGTGTGTGTGACACCTGCTGTGCGTGACACCTGCTGTGTGTGTGGCACCTGCTGTGTGCGTGACACCTGCTGTGTGTGACACCTGCTGTGTGTGTGGCACCTGCTGTGTGCATGACACCTGCTGTGCATGACACCTGCTGTGTGTGCGACACCTGCTGCACACAAGGCACTTCCCACGCCTCTTCGCTTGGATTCCTCGCACCCTGCGCTTTCTAGATGGCGAAGCGGAGGCACAGAGGCTCATCTGCTGGCTCCTCACCCAAGCGGCAGCCCCGAGGCGAGAGCGCGGTCTGTCAATCTCCAGAGCCCAGGCTGTGCCTCTGCTTCCTCCCTCCACAAAGGGCAGGTGGAGCCCAGCTTCAACACCGTAGTGGGTGCTCCTTCCTGGGTCCTGGGCTGGTAGAGGGAGACTGCATTCCTCTTTCACTCTGCCAGGTAGATGCTGGGGTTGGTTTCTGCAAGGCACTCCTTCCTACTCCAGGGGAAATCAGGTGGTCTTGCTGATGCACCGCTGGTTGTGATCAGAATTAGAAGGCATTCTGAAGCCAGCGAAAGGTCTGACTGCTTGTGTGGAAGCCATCACAGTGCACACCCGGCCAATGAAGGAGCCGCTGACTTCTGGCACACTCTCAATGCCCTATGGGGCAGGAAGGGCCGTGGGGCAATCACAAGGGCAGCTCTGTGTCTTGAGAATATGCAGCTTTGGGTCACCGACTTGGGGTCAGATGCGGCCTTTTATCAGCTCCATGGCCACCACCCTGGGCCTGACTGGGCTGCCCTTGGAGCCCCCGGGGCAATCCCAGTTCCAGGGAGGCAGCTGTGCCAAGCCTGTCCCTTCACACGGTCCCCCAGGGGCCCAGGGCCCAGGGTGCTTCCAAGTGATGGAGGCTGCCCCAGAGCCTAGCGCAGATCGGGGCATAGAGCAGCATTCCACGCGGGTTTTCAGAACGAATGATGGACCAGCAAGCTGGATGGTGAAGGGGACCGTGAGGGTCAGGAAGCTCAGATGGAGCCCTGGAGGACAGTCACCGGTCCCTCGTTTGGGCCAGAGCTGCTCCCACTTCTGCCCTGACCCTTCCTGTCCCCCAGCGCCCCTCTGTCAGGGGTCAGGGTTCGGGAGGCGCCTGGGCGGAGCCCCCTTGTCACGAGCTTCCTGGGTGGCCTGCTGGGTGTCCCACTGTCTTGCTGAGCCTCTGTTTACTCCTGCCCTGAGGCTCTTAGTCTGGGAACCAGAGGCCTGGTAACCCTTTCTGTTGTGAATTACGGGTGCAAAAAAAGAAAAACTGGGCTCCTACGATGCTTACCTTCGATACCTTCAGTGGGCCCTCCTGGGAGATGCTTGAGAAATTTGCCTGGTTGGTGAACAAGTCTGCGATGCCCATGGCCGCCAGTGCGCCCCTGAGCTCGTAGGCTCCGGAGATGGAGGCCTTCGGGATGTACAGGTGCACCAGCCTGCAGGGGACAGGTGAGCTCAGATGTGGTGGGCTGAGACCCCTCCCGCTCCTGCCCTACCTCTGGGGCCAGGAGAGGGGACAGGGCAGGGGCAGCACAGGGCAGTTCTGTCACACAGCAGCTTCCTCTCTGGGCCCTGAGTTCCTCATTCTTTTCTCCTCCACCTGGGACATGGCTGGACCACTGGGCACCCACGATGATGGTCCCCCAAAGACCGCTTGTCTCTGGAGCAACCCCGCTAGCAACAGAGCAGTGGAGGGAGCCCTGGTCCAGCCCAGCCGTGCTGCTGCTGCTGTGTGTCCTTGGCCACGTTCTGCCGTGTCTACACGTCTCATGCACACACAGTGGCTGCAGCCATGGCCGCTCAGGGCCTCTGACCCTAATCCCTGTGATTTCGCAGGGATGCAGCACGGATTCTGGCTGATGTGGCCAGCATTTCTCTGGGACGGAGCCGATGGGTTTCTGGAAAGGTCAGGAGTCCTGCTGGGGCTGGGATGGGAATGCACACTCTACCAGATTCGGGTACTGGTTTCAGTCTTGACTTTCCTCCGTTCCTGCTCCCAGATGGGGGAGGGGCAGAGCAGGTGGGAGGAAGGACCGCCCCTTCGTCTGCAGCCTGGGGCCGGGACAGGGGCCGTTTAAGCCCCGCTAGGCTGAGGGATTTGCAGAGGAATCAAAGATGAGTATTCAGGGAATTCGTGCTGAGCCGGGAGACCAACGTCCACGAAAGCCCTTTGGCTCCTGGCCCACATCTCGCGGTGCGCACACGCAAAGCCTTTCACACCAGGAACCCACAGCTTCCGTGTCTGCACCGCGAGACGGAACTCGCCCAGAGCCACGCACTCAGGACGCGGTGGAAACGTGAAGACCCCAGGGCTGCTGTGCCGCCGTCTGGGTGGCGTGGTCAGCTCCCGCTCCCGCGTCATTGACCGACACTGCTCTGCGCACACGGACGCGGTTTGGGGAAGAGATGATTTCGGGGGGCGGGTACGGAATTTTCCTTCACTTCATTTTCAGTAGGACTGGGGCTGGGGACGGTTTGAGTCATGGTGCATTGTCAGCACCTATGGAACCGCACCTGAGTGACAGCTTCCCTTTCGGGGTGGAGCAGGGAGCGGGGGAAGGGAACAGCGGAAAGGCTGCAGAGCTGGCAACGTGGCCCAAATGCACGAAATTCACAGGCACACACATGCACATGCTCTCGGGGGTGGGTCTAGGGGTTCAAGAACTGCAGCCCCCACACAGCTAGAGGGGACCCCTCTCTGAAGCGCAGAGCTGCCGGCCCCACTCTTCTCTAAGGAGGGAGGTGGGAGCCCCAGGCCCGGCTGTGTCCCTGCAGGGAGCTGGATTCACTCCTCCAGGTGCACCCAGCATGAAGGAGCTCACAGGGCATGTAACTCAACGCCACAACTGGACGCCACAAAGCACAGAGCTGGCCAGCGCTGCAGCTCACTAGGCTAATCCTCCACCTGCAGCGCCGGCACACCGGGTTCTAGTCCCGGTCGGGGCGCCGGATTCTGTCCCGGTTGCCCCTCTTCCAGGCCAGCTCTCTGCTGTGGCCCGGGAGTGCAGTGGAGGATGGCCCAGGTGCTTGGGCCCTGCACCCCACGGGAGACCAGGAGAAGCACCTGGCTCCTGCCATCAGATCAGCGCGGTGCGCCAGCCGCAGCGCCCATTGGAGGGTGAACCAACAGCAAGGGAAGACCTTTATCTCTGTCTCTCTCTCTCTCTCACTGTCCACTCTGCCTGTCAAAAAAATTTAAAAAAAATAAAGAAAGTAAAAAAGCACAGAGCTGCGTGGTCCTGCACCAGGCAGGGCAGCTCCCCCCCTCCCAAGCCCCTCCAGGAGGAACTTGCGTCTTCATTTCTGCTGCCCTGCTCGGCCGGGGCTCTGGGCAGCCCCTGTGCTGGTCAGTGCTCTGCCCTCTGCATGCACGCTCAGGGCCACTTGGGCTTGAGGCAGTTCAATGCCAAGCCATCTGTCTGCAGCCCCCTCCCCCCACGCCATCCAGCAAATCTTACACTGTTTCTCTCTCTCTTCCTCTTGGAATTCCACCAGGGGACTGTCAGTTCCCCGGGAACCTGCTTTCTGCTCCCAGGCACGTGTCTCTGAGGTCTCTGTCGTTTCCCGTTCTCTCTCCTGCCCCTGTGCTTAGCCTGAGCCTGTGCGTGGCACACAGCAGGTGCTCCCACTTCTACATCCCAAACAGTGTTGAATGACGTGCGGCCGCTGCACCAGCCTCCGTGGGCTACTGCAGATCCGGGTGCCTGCCCCTCCCTGCATCCCCTCTGCCCTGGAGTCTGTGTCACCCGCCTGCTGCCAGGCCCCCAGGGGTGGTTTTGATTCCCCGGCTCGCCCTTACAGCGAGGACGGTGCTCTCAGTGACATCTCCCTCCTCCACGGTGAGGTGCAGGCCTGGGCAGGTGGTGGCACTAAGATCCATCGTCCTCCAGGCGCCCCGGGGGAGAATGAGCTCAGCTGTCCACTCTCTCTCGTTCCTGCAGCCACCCACGCACCCGTGCACCCGCACACCCACGCACCTACGCACCTGCTCCTTCCCGCTGGTCTTTTCTCTGAGTGCGTCTCTGCACCAGCCCTTGCTTTGGCAGAGGTTAGCACAGAGGGAACCCAGCAGCTGGGTCTGCTCTGACGTCAGCCCGTCGGCCTATGGACCCCTCACTCCCTTTCCGCTTACTCTCTCACGACTGCTCCGTCCTCACTCCCTTGCTCATTTCCCTACTGACCGACTGAAGCAGGGCCCCGCTCACGGGTTGGGCTTTGGTTCCATGAGGACACACAGGTCATTGCTACCGTATTACAAGGGGCCTCCCTGGAGTCTTGAGCAGGGCTTGGTTTCAGGAGCACAAGATAACAGAATGGGGACGTGGGGAGCCGGGCGGCTGACGGCGGCTGACGGGCTCTGTTTAAGACGACAATGCAAAAACAGGATAATGTGGACCTCGTGGGGAACGAGGACCTCACTGTTCTGGAAGCCCCAGGGTATCTCAGTGCTGAACGAGGGATGGATAGCGAAGGGTGACCTCTGGAGCAGGAAACCCCACGGCCTCTGGGGACCAAGCAGACAGGAAAACGAGGAGCCCTGGAGAGCAAGCCGGGGCGGGGGCAGAGTGGGGAGAAGCGTGCGCAGGTGCACGGCCCCTCCAGCTGTCCCGTCAGGCAACGCGTGCACCCAGAAGCCGACACATTGGCCGGAGGGCTTACCTGTAGGTCAGGGATTTGGACCAGCGCTGAATCGTGTCCCTGCTCAGGGCGGCGATGACCGTGTCCACCTTCCCCTTGTCCGGGAGGATGAAGAACGCGGTGCCATTGCCCACGTAATCCAGCTGCACCAGCCGGCAGGGGAGCACCGGGTCGTGCAGGTACTTGACAGTGCTCGACTGGAACATCATGGGCACCATCACCGTGGTCGTATCGTCCACGTAGAAGCTCTTCTCCTCGGTGCTTTCTGGGTCAAAGGGGTGTGCCCAGGTGCCTGGGAGAAACAGGGAGGCAGATCTATAGGGCGGGGCAGAAAACCCACCGCGGTGACGCCCTGGGTGGCAGCAGAGCCCCAAGTGTGACTGCAAAGGAGGCAGCCAGAGGTTTCCAGGCGGAAGTGAATTCCCCGAGGCTCAGGGCCGCTCAGAGGGGAAGGAGCAGGGCGCAGGGCCTGGGTTCTGGGGCTGCGATTCGGCTATGAGGTGCGGGGGGTGGTGCTGGCTGCCCAGCTGCGGCCTCCAGGTTCCTGGTGGGGGTGGGGAGGGGCGGTCTGGGGTGGACCCTCTCGTCCACCTCCAGCTGGTTGCCTGGTGGGCCCAGAGGGCGGTGCCCACGGCCCTGACCTCCAGCACAGGGTCCCTTATTCCAGCTCCCATCCCCCATGCAGAGGCAGGTTGGGAAGACTACAGGGGCCCTGAACTGCCCCCACCACACTCCATGATGGTATCAGCCAGCTTGCTTGGTTGCCTGGGGGCAGGGTACTCACTACCCAGGCTGATGGGGTGGAAGCTACTGCTTTGGTTGAGCCAAGCCTGTGGACCGCAGACTTCGGTGCCTCCCACTCAGCCTGTCAGTCCCTCTGAGCTGATCCCAAACATTCCGGGACCTTCTCTGCTCTAGATTAAGTCTCCCCAGGTCTGGAGAGGACACAGGGCCACCAGGACCCAGTTGCCCTTGACCTCAAACCCTGAACCCCCTGGGAGGCTGCCCAAAGGTGGCCAGAGCAGAGCTCCGGGGAGGCCCTTCCCTGCCCTACTGCCTGTGGCATCTCTGGGTCACCTGGGGACAGTGTGTGGTCCTGAGCCAGCCCGAGAGCCCCTGTCCTGTCTGCTGGTGACGGGCAGAGGCTGGAGGATGCAGGGTGCTGGGAAGTGAGCTAAGGCCGTGGCGGCTGGGGGCCCCGGAGCTCTGGCTGGGGCATCTCCAGCCCAGGCTCTGCAGCCCCTGAGTGTGAACCTCAGCCCCCTCCCCAGCCGTCTCACGGCACGTGAGGTCATTGGCAGGACCTCACACTGTCCTCCAAGGGCAGTCTGGAGTCCTCAGAACTGGGGGTGGCTGGCGTTGGTGTCTAACTTGTCCAATTTAAAAAAAATAAAAATAAAAAATCACCTGTGGATACATTGCTTTTCTGTTAGGTTTTTTTCTCCCTAAAATTTTCCTGCTTGCTTTTGACTGTTTCTTTTCCAGAGCGATTCTAACATCTGGAGCTTGGCTCAAAGCGAAATACAGAATGGGGTTCCACCACTAGGGGATTTCTTCTCGAAAATTCTTGGGAAAATGGTGGCAGAGAAACTAAGCCCTTAGGGGAGGGGTGGGAGCTGGCGAGAGCAAGGATGATTCCCCTGGAAAATCTGTCAACAGGATTTTTTAAAAAGATTTATTTATTTACTTGAAAGTCAGAGTTACACAGAGAGAGGAAAGGAGAGGCAGAGAGAGAGAGAGAGAGGTCTTCCATCCACAGGTTCACCCCCAAAGCTGGCCACATTGGCTGGAGCTGTGCCAATCCAAAGCCAGGAGCCAGGAGCTTCCTTCAGGTCTCCCACGCAGGTGCAGGGGCCCAAGGACTTGGGCCGTCCCCTACTGCTTTCCCAGGCCACAGCAGGGAGCTGGATTGGAAGTGGAGCAGCCGGGACTCGAATCAGCGCCCACATGGGATGCCAGCACTGCAGGCAGCAGCTTTACATACTAGGCCACAGTGCAGGCCCCTCAGCAAGATTTTTAGCATTCTCTAAACAGAGCTGTTAAGACAGTCCACTGCATAAGGAACCCACCGGGGCTGGCGCTGTGGTACAGGGAGTTAGGCTGCCGCTGGCAGTGCTGGCATCCTATGTTGGAGTGCTGGTTGAGTCCCAGCTGCTCCGCTTCTGGTCCAGCTCCCTATTAATGCGCTGGGAAAGCAGCAGAAGACGGCCCAAGTGCTTGGGCCCCTGCACCCACAAGGGAGGCCAGGATGGAGTTCTAGGGGGCTGTTGTGGCCATCTGGGGAGAGGGCACATGGAAGGATCTCTCTGCCCCTCCCTTTCTGTTCTCTGCCTTTCAAATTAATAAATACAAAATCAGGAGCACCCCAGGGACACGTCACATGTTCTAACTTCAATGACTGTAGCAACGTCATTCTTCACCTCTGTTGTCCTGGCTTGTGGGGGCACTGCAGCATCCCCTGGTCGAACCAAGGCTTTGCCATGAAGACCTGTGTGCAGTGAGGCCTCCGCCTCCCCCCACTCAGAAGAAGCTGTGGCTCCATCAACTGAGCACCACGGTTGTCCTGAGAAACGAGAAACGGTGTGCAGGGCAGCACCTGCCCGCACCTGCGCCACCAGCCCGCCCAGAGCCCTCTCAGACTCAGCAGTGCCCTCCTGCTGCTGGGTGGGCAGCCTTCTCACAAGGCTATGTTCCAGAACCTCCGGGAGCTCTGTTGAGTTCCTTCCAGGCGCCAAGCACATGCAAGGGTAGTGGGGCCCCCAGAGGGACAAGGCTGCTGGGCACAAGAGCGCACGGCCTAGTGGGGGAAGGGACCTACGGGATTTCTGGGCACAACTGGAAGCTGCCTTGGGCAAATATGCCCAGTGTCTCCGGTCTCCCGTGTTGGGGGAAGAATGCTGCTCTAACCCGGCCGGCCTCACTCTCCCTGCCTTCCCAGGAGGGCAGTACCTGGGCGGGATCGCAGACTGGCGCCTGGGGACAGACGAGGTTGAGGAGTACTCCCGGTGCTGAGATGGCCCGGGGAGAGGAGCTGCAGGACGGAGGGGGTGGCCCCATTTGGTGGGAGGCCCCGAGTGACACTGGGAGGAGGGGAGGGGGGCATGAGGTGAGCTTGCTGGGGCTCAGGACTCAGGTGGTCTCGGGTGCCGCCGAGAGACAGACGCGCAGTCAGCTTGCTGCCCGGTTTGTTTCTTTGCTGCTCCGCCTGCATTTCTCTGACTGGGGCTGCGTCACTGAGACTGGGCACGTGCGGCTAACCCGAGGTCTGCTCAGGGTGCACAGGGAGGCTTCCCGGAGGAAGCGGCTTTCGAGTGCCGACTGGAAGGGTGGGAAGGTGTTTTGGGCAGTCAGGTAAAGTTGGACGGAAGGGGCCTGGGCTTCATGGCAGGTAGGATACTGGTTCCCCAAGGATGTCCCCACCCGGATCCCGGGAACCTGTGGCTGAATCAGGCTGCAGGGATGGGGAAATCGGAGCTGCCGGTGGGGCTCTGCCATTGCTCAGCTGGCCCTGTGCCAGGAGAGGCGACCCTGCACCTCCCAGGTGGGCCCAGTGTAACCATGCGGGTCCTTGTAGTTGGAAGAGGAAAGCAGGAGAGTGAGGGACGGGGCCAGTGCTGCGGCATAGCAGGTAAAGCCACTGCCTGCAATGCCAGCATCCCATATGGGTGCCGGTTCAAGTCCCGGCTGCTCCACTTGCGATCCAGCTCTCTGCTGTGGCCTGGGAAAGCAGTAGAAGATGGCCCAAGTCCTTGGGCCCCTGCACCTGCATGGGAGACCAGGAAGAAGCTCCTGGCTCCTGGCTTCGGATTGGCATAGCTCTGGCCGTTGCAGTCATTTGGGGAGTGAACGAGTGGATGGAAGACCTCTCTCTCTCTCTGCCTCTCCTCTCTCTGTGTAACTCTATCAAATAAATAAATAAATCTTAAAAAAAAAAAAAAGAGGAGTGAGGGTCAGAACAGAGGGGCAGCGGAGGCAGAGGCCAGAGCTGTGTGACTGCAGGCTTTGAGGACGGAGGGGGCCCTGAGCCAAGGATTGCAGGCAGCCTGTGGGCGCTGGAAAAGGCCCAGAAATGCGCTCTGCCTGAGAGCCTGCAGAACGAGCCAGCCCGGCCCAAACCGTGACCATCTGGACTTCTGACCTCCAGCCTGGTAAGCTCGTGAGTCCGTGTCGTTTGGAGCCCCTGCGTCTGCGCTAATTCTCTGCAGCCACCCTAGGAGGCTAAGCCAGGCGTGTGCGGCCGGGTGCTGGGAGGTGGGAGGAGGGAAGACACTGCGGCTCGGGGCTGGTATGGTGGGGCAGAGGACTCGGGGCCGCGGGCTGTCACTCTTGGGGTGGCGCTCGCCGTGGGGACTGCCCTGTGCGTTCTGGGTGGACAGCTGCTAGCTGTCAGCAGCACACCCTGCCGCAGCCCCACCGTAGCGCCCGAGACCTGTGCCCGGGAAGGCAGGAGGCTGCTTCTCGTTGAGAACCTCTGCTCTGGATACAGGAGTTTGGATTTCACCCCTGCGCACGCTGCGCCTCCAGATCTCTGACCCGGGGCCGAAGCAGCAAATTCCAGCTGTGGGGGGGGGGGCGGCATTGGGCATGGGGTTAAGCCACCAGCTGGGCGTCCACATTCCATGTTGGAGTGCTTGGAGCCCTGACATGCTCCTGATTCCAGCTTCCAGATAACGCGCTCTCTGGGAGGCAGCTCCCCAGGGCCCAAGGAACTGTGTCCCTGCCATCCACACGGAAGACCCAGAGTGCGTTCCAGGCTCCTGGTTTGGCCTGGCCCCAATCAGGCTGTTGTAGGTATTTGGAGCAGTGAACTAGTGGAAGGCAGCTCTCTCTCTCTCTCTCTCTCTCTGCCTTTCAAATATTGACTGCGAGTTGTGGCTGTAGGTCTGTGTGCCTACCCCTGTGCAGCACCTGCCAGCGCTCAGTCAATATTGTAGCTGCGAGGCAGCGGAGTGGCCCTGGTGACGGGGACGGCGTCAAGCCAACACGCTGGGACTGGGGCAAGGCACTCGGCGCGCCGGGCGTCATTTCACTCTCTGTAAAGGGAAGGATTGAGGCGAACACCAAGTCACCCAGGTTTGAACGTGTTTTCTAAAAGTCAAATTTCCGCCCAGCCGCGGGCTCTGCACTTTGATGGCCAGCGCTACTCTTGGCAACAGCGGAGGGCCCCCCACAGAGCAGGGAGGGGAAGTTACCTTTGAAGAAGATGTAGTTGACCAGAATGAGGATGGCTGGGTTCTCCAGGCCCAGAAACAGGTCCGCAATTTTCCCCTGCGTCTTATTCTCGATGTACTCGTTGATCTGCCTGCAGGCCCTAGGCCAGTCCTGGAAATCTGTGGCCAAGGCCTCGGACTCGTAGTAACGCCTGATGTCCGCAGAGAAGGACTCCAGCAGCTCCAGGCTGTGGTCCAGGAACAAGGCGTTGCCCATGGTCATCTCCAAGCTGGTGTCCGACTCCCCAAGGAGGTGGTGCAGGTACTGGAAGCCCTGGTGGATCTCAGCTTCGGGCATCTCCGTGAGGTTGAAGCCCAGGCCCTGCAGAAGCTGGGTGCGAGTGTGGCCGGAGGCGCCCAGGGACAGCATGGCCAAGGCCATGGAGACGCTCACGGGGGAGATGCAGATGTTCCTGTCTGGAGCCGAGGACACGAGCTGCCGATACAGGCTGAAGGCAAAGTCCACGTTGGCTGGAGCCAGGCCCCGGTGCGGGCTCCTGGTACAGATGTCACCGCCTGGGGGATCCGCAGCCTGGACGGCCCAGTGGCCACTGGTGCACAGCCAGAGGAGACAGGCGTACACGGCGAGAGGCATTGTCCAGCGTGGCCAGGCACTGCCAAGTCAAGAGTGTCTGTTAGGAGACGTGGTGGCCTCTGAGTCAACGGGACCTGGTGTCCCAGGAGGCAGGCGAGAGACCCCAGCCAAGTCCCTCCCTCCAGCAGACATGAGCCTCAGAGTCCTCACTGGAAGATGTACCCACTGTGACAGATCAAGTGCCACCAGGCGCCCAGCTCTGCTCTAGGGACTTTGCCCAATTCTGCCCTCTAATCCTCACCAACACATCCACACAGTAGACTGGTGACCTGGTTTTAAGCTGGTGGAAACAGACGCTTGGGTTCAATACCCACCCAATGGGTATATTTAAAGTACTGAAAGAAACCAAGAGACGACCAACCAGGAATCCTGTATCTTGCAAAACTGTCCTTCAAAAACGAGGGAGTTGTCGAGACAGTCCTGAATGAACCAAAGCTGAAGGAGTTCCTTCCCAAAACACCTGCCCCGAGAGACATAAAAGGCAGACCATGTCTGATTGAGACGAGAGGACACCGGGCAGTAGCTAAAGCTGTAGGAAGGAATAAAGCCTTCTGGGAATGGTGACTACATGAGTAGTTACACAAACCAGTGTTTTTGCAGCTCTGGTTTGTAGTTTCAGGTTTTATTTTCTGTGTGATTTAACATAAAAATAATTATTTGTGTATATTTCTGGGCACACAATGCATGAAAGTACAGCTTGTGACACCGGTAGCTGAAAGGGGAGGGGGACAGGGTTATTTGAAGCCGGGTTTTCTATGCCATTGAGATTAGGTGATGTAGCTTTGGGACGTTGATTGTAATCCCCACGATGGCCACAAAGGAGACAACTGGAGAATATTCAAAAGTGAGAACGGGGGGACTGGCGCTGTGGCGCAGCGGGTAAAACATTCCACAGGGACACCACGTGAGCCCTGGCTGCTCCACCTCTGATCCAGCTCCCTGCTAATCAGAATTAATTAGTCCCCTGCTAATGAGCCTGGGGAAAGCAGCGGAAGATGGCCCAAGTGCCTGGGCTCCTGCCACACATGTGGGAGACCTGGAAGAAGCTCTTGGCTCCTGGCTTCAGTCTGGCCCAGCCCTGTTCATTGTGGCCATCTGGGGAGTGAATCTGCAGATAGAAGATCCATCTCTCTCTCTCTCTCCTCTCTCTCTCTCTCTCTCTGTAACTCTGCCTTTCAAATAAATAAAATAAATCTTAAAAAAAAACAAGAATGATGAGGACATCAAAGCATTTCACTTTAACGAAAGAAGGTGAACTAAACACAAGTGTAGACAATAACATAGGAACAGAGATGAAAAGCTACAGGCGTTTCAGAGACAAGTAGCAAAGCAGTGAGGTCAGTCTCTCTTATCATTGATTACTTTAAATGTCAGTGGATTAAGTTCTCCATTCTGAAGGCAGAGATTAATAGAATGGATGTGATGATGAATTTTACATATTGATTGACGGAGTTCGGAGATGCCTGGGTGGCCGGTGCCAGTCCACTTGTGCTGCTATAACAAAAATACCGCAGACTGTAACTTACAAACTCACAGCTCTGGGGGCGGGAAATTCAGCACCGAGCCCCAGCTGGCTCAGTGCTGGTGAGGGCCGGCTGTCTCCCGGGTGCTCCTTCCTGCTGTGTCCCCAAGGGGTGGCAGGAGTGCACAGGCTCCCGCAGGCCCCTTTCACCAGGCTGCAGTCCAGTTCACGCCCGATCTCCCCCACACGCCCCACACTGAGGATTAGGTTTCCACGTGTGACGCCATGGGGCACAGCCACGCAGCCCGCAGCAGCTGGTGACACACGATTCTGGTGTGTCTGTGAGAGCATTTCTGGAAGAGGTGAGCACTGGCGATGGCGTAGAGAAGCCCTCCCCACGGTGGGCGGCACTGCCCAATCCACGCAGGGCTGGATGGAACAGAGACGTGGACAGGGCTGTCTCTGTCTGGACCTCAGGCCTTCAGATGTGCACCGCCAGCATTCCTGCGTCTCCAGCCAGCAGGTGGCTGACGGACGGACTTCTGAGCCTCCCAACCGCACAAACCGGCTCTCACAGGAAGGCTCTGTCTCTGTGGAAATGTATATGCCCAGCTACGCTTCCATCTATATACATCGTACTGATTCTCTTTTCTCTAACACCACGGATTAAAAAACAGGATCCAACTATATGCTGTCTACAAAAGGCTAATTTTGGATCCAAAGACAAACCAGATGGGAAGGAAAAGGACAGTAGAGCTCTTCCACATGGAAGTGACCCAGAGGGAGCAGGAGGGCCACATTCACATCAGGCGTCACAGGAGCTCAAGAAGGACATCGCTGACTACTAAAGCATTCGTTTGTAAACACGGACACACTGAATAACAGACTCTCAACATAAGCTAGGCAAAAATCCCAGATGGAAGGGGTGTGTGTGCAGGGAGATAGCTGTACAATAATTTGGAGACTACAATACTCTACTCTCAATAATGGCCAGGACAACCAGACATAGATATAAGGAGGGGACGGTGCTGTGGTGCAGCAGGTTAAAGCCCTGGCCTGAGGTGCCAGCCTCTGATATGGGCACCGGTTCTAGTCCCGGCTGCTCCTCTTCTGATCCAGCTCTCTGCCGTGGCCTGAAAAAGCAGTAGAAGATGGCCCAAGTCCTTGGGCCCTGCACTGATGTGGGAGACCTGGAAGAAGCTCCTGGCTCCTGGCTTTGAATTGGCGCAGCTCCAGCCATTGTGGCCATCTGGGGAGTAAACCAGCGAATGGAAGACCTCTCTCTCTGTCTCCACCTCTCTCTGTAACTCTGTCTTTCAAATAAATAAAATGAATCTTAAAAAAAAGATATATAAGGAAATAGAGGATTTGAACAACACAATAAACCAGCTAGATCTATCAGACAGATATAGAACACTACAACAACACATTGTTCTCAAGTGCACATAGTACATTCTCCAGGATTAGGTCACAGATAAGCACTCACCAGATTTTAAGACAGATCCTATACAAAATATCTTTCCTAATTACAGTTGGACGATGTTATAAATCAATAACAGAAGAAAAACTGGAAAATTCACAAACTGTGGAAACTAAACACACTTTTAAATGACCAATGGGTCAAAGAAGATATACAAAGGAAATCAAAGAACATTTAGAGGCAGGTGAAAATGAAAACACAAATATAGAAACCTGTGGATGCAGTGAAAACAGTGCTGAGGGAAAACTTTATAGCAAAAATCAATGAGATCGAGGGCTGGCATTATGGCGTAGCAGGTAAAGCTGCCGCCTGCAGTGCTGGCATCCATATGGGTACCAGTTCGAGTTCTGGCTGTTCCACTTCCAATCTAGCTCTCTGTGATGGCCTGAGAAAGCAGTAGAAGATGGCTCAAGTCCTTGGGCCCCTGTACCTGCATGGGAGACCCAGAAGAAGCTCCTGGTTCCTGGCTTTGGGTTGGCGCAGCTCTGGCTGTTGCAGCCATCTGGGGAGTGAACCAGCGGATGGAAAACCTCTCTCTCTCTCTGCCTCTCTAAAATGCTTTCAAGTAAATAAATAAAATCTTTAAAAAATATCAATGAGATCACAAATCAGCAGCCTGACTTTACAACCTAGGGACCAGAAAAAGAACAACAAAACTGAAAACCAGAAGAAGGAAACAAATAAAGATTAGTGATAGATGGAGAATAGAAAAACAGTAGAGAAAATTAGTGAAACAAAAAGATGATACCTGTAATATATTTAATTTACAAATCTATAATACGATCCTCAAAGGGATTAGCACAATTGACAAGCCATCAGCTGGACTGCTAAGAAATCACTGAACCTGAAATGAACATGTAAACACTGCTACTGATTCTTCAGAAATAAAAAGGATTAAAAAAGAATACTAGAAAAAAATCATACACCAACAAATTGGATAGCTTAGGTGAAATGGAAAAGTTCCTAGACACACACTGTACATCACTATGATGAAATAACAGACTGAGTGGTTTGTAAGGGAGGCGTGTTTGTTTGGTTCCCAGTTGGTGGCTGGATAGTCCAACAGCGTGGTGCTGGCGTCTGCAAAGGGCTCCCTGGCTGTCACGCAGGATGGTGAGGCAGAGTGCACCCTGCACAGGAGGAGCCTCGTACACAGAGTGGCCTCCCTTCACAGCAACCTGCTCTCGTGAGATGCGATCTGGTCAAGTGAGCCCTCACCCACTCCTGAGAGACGGGCATTGATCTCTTCCACAGGTGCTGAGTCATGATTTAATCATCTCACATCATCACCTCTTAAAAGTGACTGACAGGTCAGTGCTATCACCCTAGACACCAGACACCCAGCACGTGGACCCTTGGGCACAGACTGAAGCCAGGCCACAGCAGCAGGGAACTCACTCACTTTATCGGGCCTTTCCGTCAACAGTGCCCTGACACCAAAGCCAGACAAAGATGCCACAAGAAAAGAAAAATAGAGAGCAATATGGCTATGGACATCAATGTAGAAATCTCAACAAAACATTAGCAAGTCAAATTCAGCAGCGTGACGGAGCTGAGTTTATTTCTGGAATGCAAGGATGGTTCAACACATGAACACTGATGAAGGCAGTACACAACACTAACAAAATGGGAGGGAAAGGCCATGATTCTCTCAGCTGATGCACAAAAAACTATGTGACATAATTCAATACACCCTTTCCTGACAGAAACATAGACAAAAAACAAGGAACAGAAGGAAACTACCACAAGGTAACAAAGACCACGCATGGTATAAGGCAGAAGCTTTCCCTCTAAGATCAGCAACAAGACAAGGATGCCGTGTTTACTGCTTTTATTTAGCACAACACTGAAAGTTAGAGTTGAAGCAATTGGACAAGATAAAAGAAACATAAAAGTCATCCAAGTTGGAAAGGCCGAAGTAAAATTATCTCTATTCACAGATGATATGATCTTATAAGTAGAAAATCCTAGAGATTTCACACAAAGTTGTTAAAGCTAATAGGCAAATTTAGAAAAGTTGCAGGGTATCAAACCAACACACAAAAAGCAGTTGCATTTCCAAACACACCAAAAAACAACTTGAAAAGGAAATTAAGAAAACAATTTTATTTATAATAGTGTCAAAAGTTTAGGAATTAACGGAAGAGGTAAGAGACTAACACACTGGAAAGTACAGAGCAGTACAGCAGAAAATTAAAGAAGACTAAATAAATGCAAGGACATCCCGCATTCTCGGACTGGAAGGTGGTTTGGTAAATGGCAATACCCCCAGAGCAATCTATGGAGTCAGCACAATCCCAATAATGGACTTTTCAGAAATGGAGAAACTCCCGAAATTTCACATAGTCTCAAGGGATCCTGCATGACCAAAACAACCTTGGAAAAGAAGATCCAGTTTGGAAGTCTTATGCTTCCCGATTTCAAAATTTATTATTAAACTTCAATAACCAAAACAGCAAAAAGACAGACACCTGGACCAATGGAACAGAGGACAGGGCCCAGCAATGAGCCCTGCCTGTGTGCTGAAGTGACCTCTGACAGGCGTGCTGACAAGTCAGCGGGAAAGGCCAGACTTCTCAGCAAAGGTGCAGCGACCACGTGCCCAAGAGTGAGACTGCGCCGGTCCTTGACACACCGCGACTCAGCTCGAAATGGATCGAAGACCAAGGACACGAAACTCGAAAACAAGAAAACTTTACGATCGGACTTGGCAATGATTCTCTGGACACAACATCACGGCTATCCTCAAAAACAACAGCCAAAAAAGACAAACTGAACTTCACCAAAATTAAAACCTTTTGTTCACCAAAGGGAATTATCAATACAGTAAGAAGGCAACTCATAGAATGAGAAAATATATTTGCAAACCACGTATCCAATAAAGTATTTTTATCTAGAATATAATGAAGAACAACTAAAACTCAAGAACTAAACCAAATCCAAGCAAAGAAACGTAATTCAAAAACGGGCAAAGGATTTCCATAGAAATTTCTTCCAAGAAAGCATATACGAATGGCCAACAGCACATGGAAAGATTCAACCCCAGCCATCATTAGACAATTCAAATCAAAACCACAATGAGACCCCTTCCTACCCAGGAGGATGGTGATTACAAACAAACAAACAAACATGATGCTGACATGGATGAGAACAAATGGGAACCCTTGCGCAGGGATGCAGACAGAAGGGACTCCTGGCAGGACTGCGGAAACTAGTGCGACCATTGTTTAAAAAATATTAAACCTAGGCTGGCATTGTGGGGCAGCAGGTTAAGCTGGCTGCTTGCAACACCAGCACCCCACTCTGGAGTATTGGCTGCTCTACTCCCAATTCCGCTCTCTGCTGTGGCCTGGGAAGGCAGCGGAAGATGGTCCAAGTCCCTGGGCCCCTGACCCCCATGGGGGAGACCCGGGTGGAGTTCCTGGCTCCTGGCTTCATCCTGGCCCACACTCATCTGTTTTGACCGTTTAATAAATATTTTTTTTTTTAAATTAAACCTAGGATTAGCAGATGACCCAGTAATGTCACTTTGATTCACAAAAGAATTGAAAGCAGGGAGTCAACAGGTCCTTGTACCCGAATGTCCCAACAGCCTTCACTGTCACTGTCCACAACAGCCGGAGGAGGGAACAGCCCAATGCTCATCCAGGCACGAGTGAAGGAAGCACACGAGCAGAGAGAACACTCGGCAGCCGCCAGGAAGGAGATCTGGGCACACGCAACAACAGGGAGGAACCTGAGGCCATTTTGCAGAATGGAAGGAGCCAGACAGGAAGCCACACAGCAGGGATCCTCAGCTAGAGCTGGGAGACCCGCAGGGCCAGAGCGCAGCATAGAGGTCGGGGGCTGGGGCAGGGGAGGACGGAGTCACTTCAGTGGGGGCGGGTTTCCACTTGGGGTGATGAAGACATTCCGGAAAAGGAAGACAGCCATGGTGTCACAGCCACAGGAATTACCGCCACGGAACCGGCAGGCGGCTCTCAGGGCATCACCCCGTGGGGGAACCAGCCCCTGGGGAAGGGGCCAGGAGCCAGCATTTAAAGCTGCACCCCAGGAGGCTGCGGTGCCCTCCGAGTGTGGGGACTGCCGGCAGCCCCGTCTCTACCCCAAGAGAGGCACCAAGGTCCCCAGGCCCCGGAGCCCACTCCCACCACTCCCTGTGCCTCCCCTCATCTTGGCACAGTGGCCAAGAAGCCCCCGGTGCTCTGAGGCCCCCGCTTCCCTACTTTGCCAGGGTCGCAGCAAGGACCCCTCCCCAGGCTGCCGGCTTCAGCTTCCTGGCGTTCTCCCCAGCTCTGCTTTCCAACTCGGATCGCTGGCTCCTCCCCCGATTCTTTCATTTTCCGTGGTTTCGGGGCAGACTGAGCCAGACTGCGGTGCCAGTGCTGCTGTTGTCAGTGGCTGGGGGAACCGGAAGTGGGGCTATTTAAATTCTGCCCCCACGCCCTCAGTGTAACAGAGCTGGTACCCAATTGGCCTGGCTTTGTGGGCTGTCCCCGGCCCAGGGCACAGCCTGACTGTACCAGGTGCCCCTCCAACCTGGCCCCCGCAATTTCAGCCACAGAAGCGCTGTGTGTCAAAGGTTCCTCCCCAGCTGCGGCAGCGCAGGGAGGGGCAGGACAGGGCAGGGCAGGGCAGGGCAGGGCAGGGCAGGTCAAGGCAAGGCAGTGGCAGGGCCGGCCAGGGCAGGTCGTTTCGCCAGTGTTTGCTGGGCTGGGAGCTGGGGACACCTATGGACCTGCCCCAGCCCTGCCCCAGGTGGCTCCACGGAGTGAGCCTGCCCCCTCCCTGCCACGCCTGGCTCATTCTCTCTTGGCCTTTGAGACTCAGGTCGCAGGTCCCTGTCTCCAGGCAGCCCAGCCGCTGTGCTTCTGTCCCCTCTCTGTCTCACTCAGGATGGGATCTGGGCTGCAGCACCAGTCACAGCCTCACCTGTCTGTGGGCCCCTCCTGGGCAAGGACTCCGTAGAGCACACGGCCAAGAGCAGGGCGGGCACGCCTCCCTCCCCTTCCTGCAGGCTCTGGGGAGATTGGGGGACTGACCCCTCCAGCCTGGGGAGCAACACTACCCATTGAACGTGACTGTTGAGATACCAGTCACGCTGTTAGCAAGGCTTGGCTCTGGTCACCTCACTTCCTGGGGCATGTTACGGCCCATTTTACAGAGGAGCAAACTGAGGCAGAGTTAGGGTTCCAAGCCCAGCCATACGACCTCAGAGCCTGTGCCTGTCTCTGCAGGAAGCCAAATGAGTCAAACAACTCGTGAAAGGCCCCAGCTGTACGAGAATGCAGGGCATCAGGGTTGCATTTCAAATCCTTCCACCCTGCCCCATCTCTGCAGCCACTCCCAGAGAAAACACCGCCTGGCGCTCTGCTTCGGCAAGGGCACTAGTGGAGGCGGCGTGGTCTGGGTCCTCTGGGTTTGAGTGATGGGTACGGTTCTGTTCTGTCTGCCTTAGCAAGGTCGCCAAGCGAGGAGCTGTGGCCGGGAGTGTGGGCTCCCTAGGCACCCTGTGCACCGTGCCAGCGGGGCCAGGCTGGCCTACTCCACCAGGGGTGCCACTGGGCACGGGCACTGGCCAGCCCCGGGGCTCCAGCTCTGTGGCTGTCGCCGCCGGTCAGCCAGGGCTTCAGCGCAGCGGTCCTGGAGGTGGGTGGGCAGGACTCGGCCGTGAGGCGGGAGCCCACGGGTGACCCACAGCGTCTGGGATTTGAGAAACCCTCCCCAGGGTTGCCTCATATCACTGCTGGCCGCTGCGCTGTTCTACGTCCCGGGGAAAACAACACAAACCAAACCAAACAGTGAGCCAGTGAGCAGGGGTGGCTCTGGCAGGCGGGCAGGAGCTGGAGGCACCGGGCTTCGCAGTTACTCACGTGTGCAGTGGGCTCGGGCTGCTCCTGCCGGCTCAGCCCTGCCTGGAGCCTGGGCTGTGTACAGTAAGTGGCGGGCACGGGATGCGGCCGCTAAATCTTCGCCGGATGCCCTGCTGGTTAATGGTTAGAGGGGGCCACGGCCTTTTCCATCAGGCGGCCCCCTCCCCCAGCAGGTAACCAATGGGAGGCGTTTCCAGGAAACCTGAGCCAACCCAGCACCACTACTGTGAATTTACGTCCCTCCAGCCAATTCCTTGACATTTTATTTTTTGATATCAAATGGGGCTGACATTGCATCAGGGTGGCTGGCACAGAAGTCACAGGTGCTCTTGATTAGCATCAAGGCCTGCAAGTCTGCAAAACCCAGACTCTCGGCTCTGGCTGGGGATGGGGCCGGCCTGGGCCAGCTCTCAGGGGCCTTGGTCCGAAGGGAGATGGAGAGGCGGGTGGATCCCCATCTCTCTTAATCTCCACAACTCTGCGGGAGCCCTCTCGCGACTGCCCCTCTTCAGCTGAGGAAAGACAGGTAGTCAGGAGCCCGGGCTCAGGTTCAGCTCCAAGGCCACTCAACTCCGAAACCTCGCACCTGTCCACTTCCCAACATCTACCCCGTCAGTTCTCTTGTGACAAAAAAAAAGGAATTTATTTATTGGGTCTCATGAATGGGCGTTCCAGAGGGTGGGATGGGGTTCAGGTATGTCTGGATCCAGGGGTCCCCTAACCAGGCTCACGCTCTGATTCTCTCCTGGCCTGCTTTCTTGCCCTTTCCTACCTTCCTGTGTCTACACTGCACCTCTGTAGACACCTTCCTGGGTCTACACTGCACTGCTGTTCTCTGAAGGCGGGCAGCCCTCTCTTCTCAGGGTTCACACCGGTCTCCCACAGGACTCTGGGCGCGATGGCCTGCCCTTGGCCTGGTCAGAAGGTCCAGGAGGCCTGGGCCGGCTAGGGCGGCGGCACCACTCTGCCGGCCAGAGAGGTGGGGGAGGTGGGAGAGGTGGGCTGAGTCCCTGCGCGGGAAGGGAGGGGGCGGCAGCCACCAGCAGCCCCGTTCACCCTCTGGCTCTCGGTCTTGGATTCCTCAAGCCGATTTTGGAAGTTCCGTCTTCTCCATCTAAGCTTCCAGATGAAATCACCCGGGTGCTTACAAACCCCTCATTCTAATGTGTAACCTGCTTCTCCATTTTGGGCTCTATATTTTATTCACATATTTTCTCTTTTTTCCCCTTTAACAAATCTTTTAAGACTCGGCTTCAGAGCCGCTCCCTGTTTCAGAGCAAGGGGCCTTCCACCAGCCCTCCCACCCACAACACTCCCCTCTCCCACCCCCTCTCCCCTTCCATTCACATCAAGATTGATTTTCAATTATTTCTATATACAGAAGATCAATTTAGCATATATTAAGTAAAGATTTCAACAGTTTGCACCCACACAGAAACACAAAGTGTAAAATACTATTTGAGTACTAGTTATAGCATTAATTAAACACCTAAGAGTAATTGTGTATTAATTACAGAGTTCAACCAATATTTTTTTTTAATTTTTTTATTTTTTATTATTATTTTTGACAGGCAGAGTGGACAGTGAGAGAGAGAGACAGAGAAAGGTCTTCCTTTGCCGTTGGTTCACCCTCCAATGGCCACCGCGGCTGACGTGCTGCGGCCAGCGCACCACGCTGATCCGATGGCAGGAGCCAGGTGCTTCTCCCGGTCTCCCATGGGGTGCAGGGCCCAAGGACTTGGGCCATCCTCCACTGCTCTCCCGGGCCACAGCAGAGAGCTGGCCTGGAAGAGGAGCAACCGGGACAGAATCTGGCGCCCCAACCGGGACTAGAACCCTGTGTACTGGCGCTGCTAGGTGGAGGATTAGCCTGTTGAGCCACGGCGCCGGCCCCAACCAATAGTTTTAAGTAGAACATAAAAAATACTAAAAGGGTAAAGTATTAAGTTCTTTTTTTTCTTTTTTTGTTTGTTATATAGTTATTTTTTTATTTAATAAATGTGAATTTACAAAGTACAACTTTTGTATTGTTGTGGCTCCCTCCACCAAACTTCCCTCCCTCCCGTGGCCCTCCCCTCTCCCACTCCGTCTCCCATCCTGCCCTTCATTGAGTTTCATTTTCAATTACCTTCATATACTGAAGATCAACTTAGTATATACTAAGCAGGGATTTCAACAGGCTGTACTCACACAACCGCACAAGGTACAGGGTATTGTTCGACTAGTAGTGTTGTTTTTAAGTTTCATAATAAAACACATTCAGGACAGAGATCCTACATGGGGAGCCTGTACCCAGTGACTCCCGTTGTTGATTTAACAATTGGCACTGTTATTTATGACGTCAGCAATCACCCGAGACTCTTGCTATGAGCTGTCTAGGCTATGGAAGCCCCTTGAGTTCACCGACTCTGAACTTGTTTAGTCAAGGCCGTATCACAGTGGAGGTTCCTTCCTGCCTTCAGAGAAAGGCGCCTCTCTCCTCGATGGCCTATTCCTTCTGCTGGGGTCTTGTTCACCAGGATCTTTCATTTAGATTTTTTTTTTTTTTTTTTTTTTTTTTGCCACCGTGTCATGGCTTTCCATGCCTGTGAGACTCTCATGGACCTTTTAGCCAGATCCGAATGTCCCAAGGGTTGATTCTGAGGCAGGAGTGCTGCCATTCTATGAGTCTGCTGTGTGTCCTGTTTCCCCGCAGGATCATTCTCTCCCTTTTAATTCCATCCTTCATTATTTGCTTACACTGGTCTTATTTGTGAAATCTCATCAACACATGCCCTATCTTTTTGATCGGTTGTGTATTTATACTTATCACTTTACCAAGTGCACTGGCATTGGTAACTGCCTCCTTGGTAAGATTGAGTTGAAATCCCCTGGCACATTTCTAGTTCCACCATTGGAGGTAAGTCCGAGTGAGCATGTGCCAACCTATATATCTCTTCCCTCTCTTATTCCCACTCCTATGTTTAACAGAGATTACTTTTCTGTTAATTTTAAATGCCTAAGAATGATTGTGCATTGATTACAGAGTTCAATCAGTGGTCTTAGGTAGAACACACAGAGCAACAACAACAACAACAAAAATACCAAAAGGAATAAAATAGTAAGTTGTTCCTCAACAGTCTAGACAAGGGCTGACCGTGTCATTGTCTCCATAGTGTCCATTTCACTTCAATGGGTATCATTTCAGATGCTCGTTTAGTTGCCATCGATCAGGGAGAACCTGTGATATTTGTCCCTTTTGGACTGGCTTATTTCACTCAGCATGATGTTTTCCAGCTTCCTCCATTTTGTTGTAAATGCCTGGATTTCATTGGTTTTTTTTACTCTGTATAGTGTTCCAAAGAGTACCTATCCCATAGTTTCTTTATCCAGTCATCCGTTGATGGACATTTAGGTTGATTCCATGTCTTAGCTATTGTGAATTGAGCTGCAACAAATATTGAGGTGCAAATGGCTCTTTTTTTCTCCCCTTTAATTCCATTTGGGTATATTCCAAGGAGTGGGATGGCTGGGTCATGTGGTAGGGCTATATTCAGGTTTCTGAGGACTCTCCAAACTGTCTTCCATAGTGGCTTTACCAGTTTGCATTTCCACCAACGGTGGGTTAGTGTCCCTTTTTCCCCACACCCTCGCCAGCATCTGTTGTTGGTTGATTTCTGTATGTGAGCCAATCTAACCGGAGTGAGGTGAAACTTCATTGTGGTTTTGATCTGCATTTCCCTGATGGCTAGGGATCCTGAGCATTTTTTCATGTGTCTGTTGGCCCTTTGGATTTCTTCTTTTGAAAAATGTCTGTTAAGGTCCCCAAGGCCTCTCTTAAATCCAGGCTGAGCCTGGGCTGGCCGTCGCTGGAACTGGGACCTGCCCTTGGGCTGCTGTGGTGAGGGGCCCTGCTGGCATCCCTCTCCGGCGGGGCCACGCATGCTCCCTGCAGCTTCCGCCTTTGCCCAGCCCCTGAACCAAGCAGGACTCTAACCCCTCTTGGCCCTCGTCCTCCCAGACAGGCAGGATCATGGCCCATGAGTTTGGCCTTAGCGCCCTTGGACTTCGCTGATAAGGTGTCTACACTGGCCGAGTCCTGCTTTGATCTCCTCTTTCCCTTTCCACTTGCCAGTTCCTGCTCTGCCCTGGTCTCCCAGCAGCATGGACAGGGCTGAGCGCAGGGCCTGGCAGCCAGCGGGGATGGGAGATGGTGGAGTCCTCACCGGGTGACAGCTTTGCTGTCTGATGTGTATGGACCTATTTGATCCTAAGAACCTTATGGGGTGGCTGCTATGGTCAACCAGAGTCGAGAAGCAAGGGCTGTGGGTTGGGGGTGTGCTTCTGGCCTGGTGGTTAAAACGCCAGTGGGGGCACCTGCATGCCATATTGGGGAGCCTGGGAGGCAGCAGGGGACAGCTCGAGTGACTGAGTCCCTGCCGTGCACGTGGAAGACCTGGACTGAGTCCCAGTTGGCCGACTTCAGCCTGGCGCAGCTGCGGATGCTGTGAGCATTTGGGGAGTGAACCAGCAGTTGGGAGCTCACTCTCTCTGCCTGTCTTTCAAATAAATAAAAATTTTTAAAAAGGAGCAAGGGCTCTGGGTTCAAATCTGGCTGTCTGACTCAGCTGTGACCTGGGACAAGCTCCCTGTGCCTCAGCTGTGTCCTCTGGAAGACAGAGGACCCAGAACCTAAAGTCTCTTTAGGTGTTGGGCATTCGATGAGGCTGGAGGTGGGAAGAGCCGAGAGCGGGGCTTGCTGTGTTGAGAGTGCTCTGTGGTCGCTAAGGATCGCCACTGCTCCCATTCGGCAGACTGGAAAACTGGGGCAGAGAGAGGCTAGAGGAGTTGCTTGAGTCCCACCGCCGAGTTCAAGGTTGCGGTCGGAACACACGTGCCCCGGCTGACGCCTGCCTTCTTCCCTTAGGGTTCCCCGCTTCCACCTTGGGCAGCCCCCTCCCTCCTGCTCCCATCACAGGGGTGCCATGGGCATCCCAGGCCCACCTGTGAGCACTCCCTGCAGGCAGATGCTGGGACTGAGAGACCAGACTTGACATTGAGCTGGTGTACAGTGGTGATGCAAGTGCCAGGGGTAGCCCAGCAGTTCACAGGCTGCCAGTGGGCACCCAGAAACACGGGCAGGGCAGGCAGGTTCTGCAGGTGCCACCTCCAGCCGGAGA